ACAATCGCTACACAAACCCTCGAAGAGTCTCCGGGGCGCTTTATTAGTTTAAAAGTGTTCCAGAGTTCAATAAAACAAGCGCCCATCACGATAAAAACAAGTACTCTTGCCATATTTTCACAAAACGATCAGTATACAAATCTAAACTGGCGTATCACAAAAGCGATGTTTTCTATAAAATGTTATACCTCGATAATTTGATTGGAAATTACTTAGCCATACTTAAAGTAGTCTCCAGTCTTCACTTGACGCGGATAAAGATCGCCGCGCGGTTTTATGTTTCCGCTTGCACAATTTGCAAGACTAGAGGAAGGAGTTATAACAAGAAAGAAGAAAATCAGAGGGGAGATACTATATTGGCGCAGGAGAGAAAATAAACGCGAACAATCGGGTGATTCCATAATAACAATAATTTAAACGCGAACAAACTTTCTGATGTACGAGTATGAAAACGTCCCTACAGGTTTAAAAGTGAAAAATTGACAAATCACATTTGAATTGAAGCGTCCGGCACAAAGTTTCGTAAAAACTCACAGAAGAGAGGAGATTGGAGGACACTCTCCCTCTTCCCTTTCCATTTTTCTGCATGGCGTTGTCTTCATGAAAATCACGTACGAATAAGGGCAGCAGTCCTTGCTCGGAGAATAACCAGTTGCCAATTAAATAAAATGGGCAACTTGACATAAAAATGTAACTCTTATCGTTGATAACGCAATGGTCAGTCAAAAATCAAAGGCTAGGGCACGTCACACAGTAGCGAGGTATGAGCGATTTCGTGCACAAAGGGCCGAGAAGTGGAAACTTCACGCTCCTAAAGCGGTTTACCGCTGTTCAAGACAACGATGAGCTCACAGCAATCTACCACGACACTCCGCCGACCCACAGTAGCAGTGTAAAACTTTGCCTTTGACGCTGTCCACTTCGTACGCGTAGTCCCAGGTTAGCTCGGTTCCAGCTGCAACGTTTCTGGAGAGGAACGGGAAGAAAGAAGTTAATTTACATGATGACGCGATCAAATTAGACTTTAGCAGACTTTTTTCTCGAAGAGCGAGAAGATATAGACGCGAGATTTTACAAATGACCCTGGACGTGTACCAACATGGTTGTTCCAGTTGGTTTGTACGGTGACAAAAACAAGGTACTTTCCACTTCCCTATGAAAAGTATAGGTAATCGTATCCGTGCGAGTGCAATTTATTATTTGCACTTCGAGTGATATTTGAGAATTCCCTCAAAACTGCACGAGCCTTCAGGTGAGTCCAATTTGGAAGGATCTTCAAACATCACGAGTAGTGTATATCCTTTACTGGTCGAGCTTTCATACGATTGTCATTTATTATATGACTGAGAAAATTTCGAACACACCACCATTAACTTGCACTGCAGTACGAGGTAAAAATCATCGATAAATGGCCAATCAGCCTCTCAGCCAATCACAATGAGGTATATTTCTTAGTCATATAATAACAATCAAAACAACATGGACTAAAATAACCTCCATGTCCACAGTCACTTACTGTTGAGTGAAGAACGCCACCCAAGGAAATCGGAGGTCATGAGTGTCTACAAACACATTCTGGACAAACAGGTTTGGCGAGCAGCTATGCTGTTGAAGCAAACAGAAAACTGGTTTATCAAACAGGTTTGGCGGGCAGTCGTGCTGTCCAGTCGCAATGAAAACTTGCTTAGTTTCGTACATTAAAGAGATGACACATTTTTTTCGACGACGAACGCGTGGAAAATGGAAAACAATGGAATTCTCTTTTAGAGGGTAGACAGCAAATAACAGTATAGGATTTAGAAAGTGTTAGAAAACAAACAGTCGACACGTATCTCCACAAAGTATTAAATTGAAAGAACTACGGTTAACCAAACAAAGCAGTAAACAACACATTATTTCATGAAAAACAGTAAGTTAACAAACTCACATTTAAATATCGCCCACAGTTCCCGTAAGCCTTTGCGTCGATGACGTAGCAATGCTCTTCTCCAAACATCAACCTCGTGCTCAGTCTCTTGCTGCTAGCAGAGGACTGGCGTGACAGAGAGGGGCGTGAGGGCGAGGGAGTGTTGGGTGAGGCTTTTATCGAAGGACTGGTGCTAGTGGGTTGAGAACGAGAGTAGTGAATCTTGGGCTTGTTAGCTGAAAAAACAAAAAAGAGAAAATCCGGCACCACAAAAGTTACTAACTTAAAGAAATTTCTACAATGCAGAGCTATTCTAAGGATGTTTACTTAGGTAACTTAGGGTTAGGGTTAGGGTTTTTGAAAATAAAACTCCAGTTTGTTCGTCTTTATCTTCTTAAGCTTACACTGGATTCAGGTTGAGAGTTAAACGGTCTCAGGTGTCTCAGGTCGTTGTAATGGTTGATAGCGTTGCAAAGCAAAAAGTCCGACAAAACTTGGAGTTCTGTCCAGGAAAAAAAAGGCGTGTTCACTAAATAATAAACAGCGATTCCACAAATCGGCTGGGAAAATCATTGACGACGTCTCGCGCCCTCTTTAAAAGCATGAATCACAGCATTTCTTCGATCAGAAGATGAAGATTTTTCTGGCAGGTGAGAGTGACTACTCTTGGTGATGGCCCACACTTGGAAACGTTCCAACGCGCCTTTTCCGAGACAGAATGTTGTCATCCCCGCAATGTCATTCCCACAATGCATCCCCCCAGATCCAAAGATGGCGGACGACTTGAGAGGGGATGAAAAGTCGCTTTTGAAAGGACGAAATGGTGGTATTACATGTTGCGTCTCCACACGGTTTAATAATTCAAGGAGAAACGCTGAGTTTAATTATATTTTCCCGAAAGAGCCTGCATTGTGAGAGAAGTGGATAAAATGTATCGAGAGGCGAGGCACCCAGTATGTTCGGCACGCTTTGCAGGTGGGAAGAAAAGCTACGTGAATAATGTAGAAACCGTATTTGCTGACTGTGCATTTGAATTGTTGCTGTAGATATAATTAAGTGTGAGTCCCGAAACCAGCAGATTTCAGAGGGCAAGCCTCCGTCCGCACTGTCCGCTTTCTTGGACTGGACTTGATGAATACATCTGCCATGCAAGCGCGCCTCGTAGAGTGAAAGGACCGTTGGTGTCATTATATGGATTTTGAAATTAAAAACAAGGTGAAACTTCTAAGAACAAAATAGTCAAAGACCTCAGACTTCAGTTCAAAGATAAAGGACAAATCAGACAAATGAATCTTACTTTTTAACTTTTTCGCCGGCGGCTTTGACACTCCAGTGCTTCGTTTAGAGCTTCCGGTTGAAATCTCCGACTTCCGGTCTAAAGACTCGGGCTTTGAAACGTCCGAACGTAAACTAGACGGCGAAGGCGGAAAAGAATCCATGTTTTCTGTCTCTGGAGATGAAGGCTCCGATATAGGTTCAACCCGAATACCCAAAGTATTTTCTACGCTGGGGGATTTTTCAGTCGAACTTTTGTCGACATCATCCGCAATCGACTGGTCTAAGTCCATTGGCGTCGGCCCATCCGTTCCATTCACACTAGAGTCCGAAGAAGACGGATGAGCCGTGAGAACGCGTTTAGTTAACCGTGAAATCATGTCCTCTAGCGTGTTTGAAACCCGACGAGTGGGATTCATTTTAGTTAATACAGGCGGTTCGTCCGCCACTGTCGTGTTCTTCGCAGCCAGTTTAGAGAGATCTTCTGCGGAGATGAGAGAAGGCGCAGAATCCGAATCCTCAACCGGTTTTGCAGAGCTCTCTGATTTATCCTGTTTATCAGGTTTTTCTGGTTCGACCGGTTCGGGCGTAACCCTTCCATGTTTGATATGAGGCTGGAGATCTGTTTTCTGAGAAGCTGAATGTAAGTCTCTATCTTTGAATGTTGAAATTCCTTCAACATCAGCTTCTGTATCGCTCGTTAACACAATAATTTTCATATCGTTTCCTCCTGCAGAATAAGCAGGTCTGCCCTTGTGTGTATCGTCCTTGTCCGTTATAATCCTCGCCGTATCTGCCTCGTTGTCTACTGGTATGTCCTGGGAGGTGTTGTCCCGCATTTTCTGGCAAAACGACTCGTCGACTTCATCGAAATCAAAGTCACTGCTCTGACTGATGTTCTTTTCTTCGTCATCTACGAAAAAAGAAATAAAGTTACACATTTAGGCATTATTTCACCACAACAGGATAATTATAAAGAAAGCTTTCCCTTTGTCCACTAGATTCCCTCAATAACTCGCCATTTGCCACAGCCATTTCACTGTCATTTCTTCGTCTCTCAACCCAAACAGAGTCTCGATTTCAAGCTTAATTTTATACACTTACATAAAAACAGGCAAAATAAAGTTAAGATGTGTTGCCACGGCATATGTTCACTAGCCAGTCTCCGATGCCATCAGTACGTATCTGGAGTCCAGTGCCCCAATCACCAGACCACTGCGCCCCACTAACGTGATATTTCACAATTAGATTATGAGCTTGATATTTCCATGGGCACCCTCGTCAACTAACACGCATAGAAATCGAGAGTGAATAATCTAATTATTTTAGTATAAATCTACTAGGCGTTCAGAATTATATCTAAATTCTCTTCGCAGACACTTTGAAAACGAAAAGAAGAGGCCGCCATTTTGTTAACAAGCGCACACTGCTGGGCTACTCGAATAGATAGTGAGTAGCGTAGCCAATCAGAGAACGGCATTCCTGATAGAACGCTAGTAGATTTATATTAAATATCTACAGAAATGCAAGCAAAGTAGCATTAATTTCCAAGTTGTTTATGAGTTCAATTTCCATACTATAAACTCGAATAGTAAGATAAGGGGCCCAAAGCTCCTGGGAAACCTCATCCGTTCCCCCCCCCCATCGTTAAACGACACCACATGTCTCTAAAAACAACAGAAACAAGGTTGAATTTTCGCCGAGGTATTTACCTCTCAACTGCTTAACACTCTCCGCATCTTTCACATTTTTTTCATCCCTTTTTACTACAGCTTCTTTTGTCATCACGACGGTTTCCGCGCCTGACTGGACACTAATCTTTCCACTCCCTTCACCCGTCATCTTTTTCAAGAAGGCGGCTGCAAGCTTCTGGTCGTCATGGTTACGCTTTAATGCTATGTAACACCTAGAAGGCAAATATTAGTAAAATGCAATGCAAGTCAGCGGATTTGGATGTAGAAAAAGACGTAGTTCGTTTACAAAATGTAAACAGAACTAAATGCTGCAAGATTAAAATCGTTTAAACTAATCGTGGGAGAAATTAACGTAATAAACGATTTTGCCTTATGTTAAATAAGTTAAGTTTAAAATAAGCTTTTATCTCTTTAATCGCGGCTGGCGTTAGGACGGGGTTGAAACATGCCCTCATACAACATTTCACTTTCAACTTCTCTCCAGCTCGAATGCAAACTTGGTACCACTTAACGACCCTACAAACGCCTGTTTTTTCGCTGTTGTCAAATTATTGAAAAGTTTCTCCTCTGCAAAGAAAGACAAACTTCTAACTGAAGAAAGCGTTTGTTAATATAACGTGTGTCACTATCGCGATAACAATCCTGCGGCTTATATTTGGTGGGCTTGATATTATTTTCGAGAGGGTGACACTCGCTATCGAAAGGAATTTCCGTTTCGAAAATATTTGAGGTTAGATTTGGAAGGGATTAGTTTGCGTATGGAAAATTAACAGTATGTGGATATCGCCGGCGGGTTACTCTCGCCTGGATTTTACGGTATGGACAGATATCTGTCACGACTAGAAAGGCGTTTCTTGGCGAACGATTATGTTCGTAGTAGTCTCTGAGGCACACTACGCCGGAGGAATTTGAAAACGTAACAATCACCGGCCATTTTGGACTTGTGTTTGAGGAAAACTCGGTCTGGGAAATCACATGATTCCCGTGATGCCATCGTTTTCGAAAAGCTATATTTTCAAATTGTTTTCCGTCCACACTGAAACGCAAAGCCGGCGTTTCAAATTCCTCAGATTTGAAGAGCGTTTTCGAAAAGTTCCGTTTTCGTGACGGATTAGTGCGGACGGTAAGGCCTAACCGTAGAAATAAAGTTGCGTTTTCAAATTCCTGCGGCGTGGACGGAGAGGCGAACGTGACACAACAAATATCTGTCAAGAAATGGTTCTGGAGACTATATTTAATAAATACGAAAATTAAACTTACCATTTTTCATCCGCAAGGTGTGATAAACAGTGAGCTTTAGACTCTCTTTCAACCATCAACGTTTCCTCTCCTTGTACACCGCTGTCGTGGACATTAAACGCAAATGAATCGTGTTTACAATATGGAACTCAGTTTCAGGAGTTACTTTCACAAATGAGCCTCTGAGAGCGGCAAAAGAGAACTGACTACACAATCACCGAGCATTCTGGAATTCCTTTTGAGGTAATTATTACAAACCATGTGTAGTTCTAACCACCGAAGGAAAAAAATGTGCTGACTTAGCAAATGCTACCAGATAAACGAGTCAGAAATGGCGCGGGTAACTATGAAAACAAGGACTCTTTAACGGCAAGATAAAAGTAATATAGAATACGAAACGAAAGAAAACTAAAGAAAAGAAAAGAAAACAAGAGACCAACAAAAGAAAATTTTTCCTACCGTTTTCTCTTTTCGCTTTTCTTTCCAGATCTCTGTGGAATAAAAAAAAGCACAATACTTTGATCATTTTCTGATCAATAAGGCTTGTTTGCTAATTGCCTTTAAAAAGAGGTTGAGAACATTTTCTTTTCAGTTCTTCAAGGCCCAATGTTTCAGTTAGACAAAACCAACCTTCATCAGGGACTTTGAATAAAATCTGATTCAAACATACTTTACTCTAATAACCCCAGAGGCCGGTTATCCGTGAGTGCTAGGTTCAAAACAGACATTTAACTTGAACACAGTTAACAGAGGGCAATGGTTAGACACCCTACTAAGATCTTTGCTCTAGGTTTTTGCTCGCTTTTTCGGCCTTGACCGTGCACAAAACACAATAGTTGTTTACTTTTCACTGAGGAACAAACCAATAGCAACGTTTCAGTTACGTAATCCATACATAGTGTTTGAGCGCAAAACAGAAGATCGTGAACGGCCGTGGACCTTGATATCTTTGTTTGCTCCTTTGATGTAAGCCTAAAGGAGGGTTTCTTAACCACTCCCCTCTATTAACCACTGAACAAGGAATTTGATCCCAAACCTGCATCTCGTCAGTTTTAACAGCAGAAACACTCTTACCTTTCGCTTGTTTCTCCTGGATGATTTGTGGCTGTTATGTTCACTATCACCGTGCCTCGAGTTTCGGCCTGAACTGTAACTCTCCTCACTCAATAAGGAATCCACTTCCGAAGATTCATCTTCTGATAACGAACTGTAATTAAAATGATAACAATACGAGCAACAAGATTACTTTTAAAAAAGGACAAGTAACCAGGATAAGACTTACTCAAAATTTCAAAAGCATTCTCTGGTTAAAATAACCAGAGAAGCGTTTTCTTAAGATTACTTTGTTACCGTCTTTAGTGCAGAGTGCATTATTGGGATGGTTTGGGGGGCTGCTGTAAGCTAAACCGCTAAGTTAGGTCTAGTTCACACTTGGGACATAACGACATAATTATATAAACACAACGACATAAGAAGGACGTTGTGTCGTTATGTTTGCAGTGTGAACATCCTGACATAATGGCATGATGGCAACATAACAGTATGAACATACCGACATAAGGAAAAAACCTGATCTTTCCCTTATGTCTTTATGTTGATGTCCACATTACCAACATAAGCGTTTATGTCGTCATGTCGTTTCTGTCGCTACTGCGAACCAGGCCGTACTAACGAGCTAAGGTGTAAATTTTAATGTTTGTGTAATTAATTAATTCCTACTAATGCGGTAGTGTTTTGGATACTTTCGCCATTCGCACGTCAATTCCTACTAATCTGGTAATTACATGGATGGATGGATGGATGGATGGATGGATGGATGGATGGATGGATGGATGGATGGATGGATGGATGGATGGATGGATGGATGGATGGATGGATGGATGGATGGATGAATGAATGAATAAATTAATGTCACTCAAATAATAAGTCTCTCGGCAAGAATGGGGTAGGGCTGGGGGTGGGCCAGGTAACTGTGCGCACTACGTAAACCGGATTGCACCAACGCTTCTCTCTCCCTAGCATCACAAAATTACATCTCTGGTTCGGAAAACCCCGTGCTGTCGTTGTTGAGTACAGTGAAGGCTTTTACCTTTCGCCGCTATTTCCTGAAGCACTGGCTGAAGAACTGCTGTCGGCGCCCAGCGTCTGATAAATAACACTGTCATCTTCCTCAAGGTCCGACACATTGGACTCGTAGCCTTCCTTGGCTTTTTCCACGACCTCTGTAATAACAATCCAACAGATTACAAAGTTCACTAGGAGCTCTTTATAGAAGATTTCACTCGAGGAGCAATAGGGGACTTTAGCACGCCCGTTTTTGAGACGCGGACGGTAGCCGGAAGTGAGCTACTTTCACTTTTAACTTGTCCTCACACAGCCATATTCACATTGCTAAGTATCTTTTCTTCATTAGAGATGAGTAGTATAAAAAATCTGGGAGACAATACGGTCCTAGCATGCGAAATCTTCTCTTCCGGTTGCCGTCCGCGTCTCAAAAACGCGCGTGCTAAAGCTCCCTAATGTCAACGTCATGAGGAGCAATGTCAAGGCATTCTTTTTTAACTTGAACATTGCCCTAAAAATATGTATACTCTTTTTCATTGGACATTGCCTTCAAAAAGGATTTTCTTGTTTTAGAAATTTGGACATTGCCTTCATTTTTTTTCAAAATTGGATATTGCCTTGAAAAACAAAAAACAGAAATATGCAACTAACTGGATTCACAAGTTGAAAAATTCACTTTACCTCTCGCTATTTAAGGCATGAAGACTTCAGGCCTATTATACTCACTATGACGTAAGCAGTTAGCATTATGTGACACTACGTTAATTTATGCAAGTGTCATTGGTTCTCCTCTGCTGTAGCCTCACCTATACGTCTAAATTGGGACTTGGATTGAATACATTCTACTCACCGATATGGTCCAACTCCGCAAGATACTCGTCTCCAAAATCTCTTCCCTCCTGCCAACAAGAAGGGGAAAAAGGTTTAACACCCAGCGCCAGCAAGTAAATTATCTTTATTGGTCTCTTCCTTATAAGTGATGCTTTGGAGGATCGAAAAAAAACTTTAAGTTGAGGGCATTCTCAAACAATCGCTTAATAATATTTAAAAAGTGCGAAAACGAAAAAAAGAAGAGACCAAACACGCAAGCAAACAAACGAAAATCAAGGTGATGGTTAACCAAACCGAAAGACGAATGGCTAGCACTGGAGAATATCTTGAAGAATTGCAAACCGTGCTTTTCAAATCGTAATAGGAATACGGAAATTGATGTCATGTTGTCACCACTAACTTACCTCTCCTTTGAAACCTTTTTTCTCCTCTTATAAATCCAAAGCGAAATATTTCTTTCCTGTTTATGTAGTCCCCCAGTCTTACGGATATCTCACGTTTAAAAAATATAAGCATTTTTAAGACAGAGTGAACTGAAATCACGGATTCCAACCTTGTTAGCCATGTCCTCGTTCAGAATTTGCCCAGCATACGTACAGACGAAGGTTCCCATAGGAATGTCATCCAGAGATCGCAGTCCCCATCCCCTGAAAAGCCAAACGCGCAAAACAGTAAACACAAGAGTAAACACAAGAGTAAACACAAGAGTAAACAATCAAACAACAAACAGCAAACAATGCGACGAGGAAAAGAAAATAATCTGTTTTGATGGCATCCATAAACACAAGAACGATCGATAGAATTGTTCCAAACAAAGTCACATGCATCTTTCTCTGAGATCTTCTTATACAGGGCTGCGAGGAGTTTCTCTTCAGTCAAGCCTGGTTTCCTTATATACCTGTTTTCTGTCTTGAAGACTTGTAATCGCAGCTGGATGCCGTTTTGTACAACTCGGTTGAAACACTGGCTTCCGCACGCGCAGTTCTGATTGCACTCGTAAATCCTAAGAGGAAATAATAAACCAGGTAATAACAGTTAGAGACAAATAGCATTTGTTTTAGATCTTTCCAGAGAGAGCTCGGAAGTGCGGGAAAAATGGCGTGGCTCAAATCACGTGATTAGTCTGAAAACATGCATCGCATTTCTTATTGGTTACTGCTCGACTGTTCGTGTGGTTACATCAGTCACTGACGAAGATACCTCCAGTTTTCTAACACTTGCGTTGATTCAAATAAGACAGAGATAAAAACACGCTCCACTTATTTAATAATAACACTATGCATTAAAAAGGCATTATTCCGTTAAGTCATGGGAGTGATTTATAATTTTTCTCTCTGAAAAGAAGCATTCGCTACAAATTGCTACAGAAACCACTGACTGGAAAAACCGCCGTCACGTTTTTCCCCACACAGCGATGTAACGAAGGGTTCCTGTGCAGTTTCCTTCAAAACTAAACCGCACATTCCACAGCTTTTACGCCTCTCATTTTGCTCAGTTTTCACCGTACTTTTTACAACGTTTTTTCCTACAAACCTCTCGAACATTACGTTAAGACAATTCAAACACCGAGAGGTGTTGAGCTTTCGCGGTTGACAGCTCACTCACCCTGTTTGCACACCTTCCCTGAGCCTGCGATACTCATAGCCAATGGTGGGATCCTCTTTGCCTCCAACTGCAGCAGATGCCTGGATGGTCAACTGCGCGCATGAGCACTTGGACTTATCCTTTATTTAGTCAAGAATAGTATTTACACAAATTAGTAGCTAAGAACGAATGTGTTCAATTGTATTATTGTGTTGAATGAAAAATGTTCATACTTTGCTATACATAAATGCATGTTTTGTGTACCACTTTTTGCAAAACAGACCTCAGAACGCCAGTAAGAACAACACTTAGATCGGATTAGCTAAACATAGTCACAGATGGCTTAAACTCTGTTACTTGCCGCTGATATTAGGATTAATTTCAACCGCTCATTGAGTCCTGTGTTAGTTCGTCTTTCCCAAACAGTGTATGGTAATTAAGCCTTAGCTGATTTTAGTTCCGATATTAGTTTCTGTGAACGTAAACAAGACTGACCCTCACAGGGCTTAAAAGGAGGTCCTCATCGGTCCGGCTAAATTAAGGTACGCATTTCATTACCGGGAAAGTTCCTGCCTTTTATCTGGTTCGCTTCCGATTTCTCTGTTGTGTCGATGGTGACAAGAATCAAGGAAAGAGTTACCAAGGAATTATTTTCATGGAAATTAATATTTTGATCATGGGAAGTGTAAAAAGACAAGTCACCTGACAGTTGTCCGTGCAGTCACAACACGCCAAGAAGCCTGGGTCCAGAACCATGTTCACTCCATCAGCTAGAATTCGTCTGGAGACGTAGTCGATTGGTGGAGGAAAACACGTATCCACTTCATTGACAACCTGACAAGTGTCAATCAACATAACAAATGACCAATCAGGCTAGGTATTGTTAGAAGAATGCAAACATTGATTGTATTCAAGTTTTAACATGTAATGTCACATGTAAAGACGCAGACATCTAATTTTTAACGCGATTTTCAAAACTAATAGCTTGATTTTGTCCAGCAGTACTAGGAAAATGAACATTTCGACAAACTTGACGAAATCAGGATGACATTTTCCAGAGTGACCCAAGTTTGAAAATACCTACCGAGATTTGAACGGCTTCTGCACCGCGCGATATGTCAGGACATATGGGTTCCTACGGGAAAACAAAACATAACAAAATTACGCGTTTATAACGGGTCTCAGTAAAATGAACACAAGAAGTCTGGTCATAGTCATACTTTTGCACATTTTGCTTCATTTTATTCCGATTCTGAATTGAAAATCAAAAATACACTTGCTGTCAGAAGAAAAGCAGAATTCATTCTTAGCGTGAAAAATGCAACGATTATTCTTAGCATTAAAAATTGCACAGTTTATTCCTAGCATAATGAAAAAAGAAAACAACGACAACAACAGGGTTACTTTAAGGAGCAGGGATGGCGCAGTGGTGAGAACGCTCGCCCCCCACCAATGTGTCCCGGGTTCGATTCCGGCCTGTTGCCATATGTGTGTTGAGTTTTGTTGTTGGTTCTCGCCTTACTCCGAGGGTTTTTCTACGGGTTCTCCGCTTTTCCTCCCAGCGCAAAACCAACATCTCCAAATTCAAATTCCACCGGGATAGAGGATCCGCGTGAAAACCAGGTAAGGCTGATATGGCTTCCTCTCTAACTATTGTAATTTGTTTGTTCTGAGCTTACTACCCAATTGTATTGTACATCTACTACATGTAGTTGTGAGCGGTTGAATGCTGTTTGCCAGCTGTAGAGATCAGCTTTGCGACTAATTTGCTTTTAGTTTTATATGACAGACCTAAACATAGACAAACAGCTACTACACATAACGCTCACCACATCTCGGAAGACAGTATCTTGACAAGAGATATCCGGATCAAATGTGAACTGATCTATGGACACATTGTCAGCTTCTGTTATCGTCACTGAAGGCAAAAAAAAAAAAAAATTTCTGAATGAATACTTGTCAGAAATGTCACATTGTCTTTAAATAACAAACCCTTCAGTATCTCCACCAAAATAGTGAAAGGTTTGAGGCTTTCAGCAATGATAGGGGGCAAAAAAGTAAGCAAATCATAAAAATCGCTACAAGAATATAATGACTGCAAGGGAAAACGTCCTACTTACAGTAACTAGCCACCTCCAACATAGACCTCTGAAAACAAAAATAAAATAAAAGTATACAAAGCAGAAATCAGGACTGTAGTTAGCATCATAAGATTTCCAACAACGGTGTGTTTTTCAAACAATTTTCAACTGGTATGTCCGGGATCGCGCCCTGGCCGGGGACATTGAGTTGTGTTCTTGGGCAAGAAGACACTTTACTGTCACAGTGCATCTCTCCACCCAGGTGCGTAACTGGGTACCGGAGAATTTCATACTAGGGGTAGCCTTACGATGGACTAGCTGTAGCACCCCATTCAGGGGGGAGAGGAAATATTCCAGGTCGCTTCATGCTGCAGAAACCAGGATAAACTCCGGCCTGATGGGCCCCTTGGCTAGTAGGCAAACTTTAAGGCAACTCATCCGTAACTTACCAGCCTTTTGTTGCACGGAGTACGGTAATAGACAGTCTTTTTGTTGCCAGGGTGACGCTGAGCAATTTCTCTGCGAGAAGAACAAACAAACATTCAGCAGTAACAAAGATGACAAAATATCAGCCATGTTCACATTGCTAGAAAGATATTGATGGTTCAGTTTTGACTAAACTACTCAGCAGATTTCTGTTATTCCTATCTTTTACAGCAGGAGTTTTAAGTTTACAGCTTCACGAACTGAACTTTCCAACTACAGCTCACTGTGAGTTTACTAGTCAAGGCAGCGAGTTGAAGTTGGTGAATTTTGATCACTGAGTTAACGCCTTTTCTTTTCTCCCGTTTCACAAGGCTAAGTTTCCCAGATAAAATGAAGTAACTTTAACTTCAACCTGAACAGGTTCGTCCAAACATAAATACTGATGATCGAAAAAGAACCAAAAGGATATTTTAGATATATCCACAGCGTAAAAATCGAGTATTCAATTCGTTACGCCTCTTCCCTTCTATATAAGGTATGCGTGACGGATAGAAGCCAATGTAAACTTCACAGTAGACTCGTAGCCCGCTTCGCTCGGCCAGCTATTTTACCCTGAAACTCATGAGTTCAACTTGCAGCAAGTCTAACTTCACAGGTCAGGTTTGAACAGGCGGAAGAGCAATGTGAACAGTGATACAAAGAAAAAGGAATTAGAGTAGTAAAATTATTTTATTATATAACTCAAAGAAATATAACCTTTTCCACTTCAACAGTAGAGGGATCGATCTCGGATTGTGCTTCACGCTTTCTCCTTCTTTTAAACTTAACGGTGGATTGCACGAGTTGTTGCATTTGTGAGGCCCTGCAATAGAACCAAACGGTTAACAAAGTGTACAATTTACTTTTCTGCTCAAACGGTCCCCGTCTCGAAGGAGCCCGCGGTTTCTTTGACGGAGCAATACTTAGCTGAGCAACGCTGCCGAGTTGGATTCGGGAATGACTGCATGAAAGAAACAAGGGGTGGGGTGAAAGATGATAGAACCTTATTTTGCGTGGCAGGGCCTCATTTCTATGTCATTTTGTTTTCAAGTCTTACCCAATAGGACTGGAGGAAATTGTTGAGGACAATTTCCCTGATGGCTTCGACAAAGTTCACGCGTCAACACTGAGTTAATATTGAGATCAAGAGAAAATGGGGGTTAGCCCTTTACATTCTCCTAACTAGCACCTTACAGCACGCTTGCTTTAAAGTGAAGAGAATTTACATATTGACACTACTTTCCAATTGTTTCACCTTTAGGAGCTGGTTTGCTTAGCACAGGCAGCCCAGGAGTCTCACACTGTCCCCCAGAAAAGTTGCCCGCATCGTTCTGTTTCAGTCTTTCTTCGATCAGCGATGCCACGTCCTGTTTCCTCCGGTTGTTAGTTGGGAATTGGAAGGCTGGGACTCGATTATAGCCCGTGCTTCTGACGTCACGTCGGTTCGCTCGTAACCATGGAGCTTCCCACGTCTGAAACAAGAGGACAGTTTAAAGATCGAATGCTACTGTAGTTGTTCACTCACCCCATGATTTTTTATCTCGAGCGGGATTTTCGTTTACATAGGGTTGTGAGATTTCGTAACCAAGTATGAAAAGAAGAAGGAGCATATGTAACAAGGATTTTACGTTATCAAAAAACAAAACAGAACAAAAAATCAACAATCGAATTATATTGCAAATGGCGATAGTATATCAGTATTGCAGTGTAAGAAGTGTTAATTAGTATTGTAAGCAACATGAGTTATCGTACTGCACTGTAAGTAGTGTTAATTAGCATTGTTGGTAGCGTAAGTGACCGTATTGTATTGTAAGTAGTGTATGCACTGCTTTGTAAGTGATACACGTAGTGTAAGCCTTAGCATTGTAAGTGAAGGAATTAATCATATTGAATAAGAAGTATTATAAGTAATGTAAGTATATGTATTAGCCTTGTAAGTAGTGTAAGTAGCTGCTTAAGTATCGTAACCAGTGTGTGTAACAATGATTAAACAACAACAACAACAACAACAAGACGGAAATGAGTTACATAATTTACGAGACCTTTCCTACACATTCTGTTAAAAATCCCAAATCACCCGTTGCCATCCGCCTAGGCAACTGCCGACTGGCATAACCTGAGTGTTCAAAAATATTGAATAACGCTCGCCTTAAGTTGCTGTCCTCACAAGAGATTTAAACACATCAGGAGGCCAATCAGAGTAGGGCATTATATCTTGAAAGAACTTAGTAGTATTATAATTGTTGGGGATAATAATGATGGCAAAAATAATGTGTTTGCTCGAAATAAATGACGAAACTCGTGGCAGCAATTTAAATTTCTGTAGTAGCACTAGACACCAGACATCAATAATCTTAAGAAAACTGATCATACGTTTTGAGTGTATACATGTTAAGGTTGTATGGATTCCAGTCAGTGTGATAAATATACCATGATATGGAATATTGACGGGAAATTAAAGCATGAAACGATAAAAAGCGAATAACGATTGTAAAAGAAAAAGGAAAACCGATATAAGCTAAGCGAACAATAAAAGTCAAAAGCAAGGTCGTAAATTGATATGATAAATTTGTTATTTTGTCGAGCAAGAATTTTTCCTATCCTTCAAATAACACCTCCTTGACTTTAAGATGGAAGCGCGCAAAGGTTGTTGTCAATGAATAGAAATCAATCTTCTCAAACTCATTATTATCAAAGGAAATCTAACCTTGACGGTATTTCAATCAGCATAGATGTTAGCGATTTCATTTCTCCGTTTTCGCCTTAGTTTTAGTTTCAATTGACAGGTTATATCGCTCGAAAACACTTTAGACCGTGTTTAACCACATTTCTAAACTCCTCGACGTTCGTCAAAAACACTCCGCTGCGCGTCGTATTTTGAACTCTATTCTCGGTTGTTTGAAAATGTTTTAGGGCACGGTTTTTGTGTTTGAAACATTTCGTCCTAATTCAAGACGTGGCCGATTACCTTTGAGGTGTCCAAAGACATGAATACTTGTCAGATGATCAGAAAGTGTATATAATAAACGTGTGTATTAAAATAGAGCATTGGTACATTACGGGACATAACGTGAGGCGTCCGTTACGGAATCAAGCCCGTTTTCATGCTAAAGAACGTAAAGTACTAACATTGTAAAGTTCATCCAGGATCGACTCATCCATGTTAGGACCTAAATGCTGAAAATTAAAGTTAAAAGCATGAAGAGGTAAAAGAATATTAACCGTTGGGTCAAACTTTCATTTTCTGTTCTTGGGAGGTACAAGAACAGAACAGTCGCTCACAACAATTTATACGCGCCCGTTCTACCATAGTTTATCGGAAAACAATTAGTCCAAGCTTCGACAGCTTTCGTGAAAAAAAAAGTGGTGCTATGATTTTTACATCAACTTCGACAAGGTGAAAACAAAAAAGGAGACTTCAAAATATCACCAACATACCGATAACAGTTAATTGCGAACAGTTATTACAACTATCTAACTGAACATGCACGCTTGATGAACAAATAAAAAGCACACTTTTCAACCTTTTGAGGTTATGTTTATAAAACCATGCAGTTTAAAAAATTGACGCCAGTTTATCATGTGTCTGTCCTGTCACTGATCATGAATGTCATAACATTGCCAAAGTAGCTGTGGATCCGCAGACTACTTTGACAATGTTGTGACAAAATTCATTGTCAATAACAGGGCGGACGCATTGAAAACTGCTGTCAATTTGTTTTTTTACGATAACAAATTGTCAAATTGTCCGTTCTCGCTCGTTGACGTATCACACAAACTACAAATTCATGTGTCTGTCCGCTTATTGACAATGAAAATTAGCCAACGAGCGCGCGAGAATTTCTGCAGTTCCGTAAAAAAGGATTTGGTTACTTATACTTTTTGTTTAACGAACAAATACACGTTCAGAGCGATATAAAAAACCAAAAGATTCCAAATGAGCTCAAAGCCACCTAAAGAGGCCATTTTCATCCTGTATACATTATGCAACACGGCAAATTTAACATACAACTGGGCTATTTTTAAATAACCTAGTTGGTCAGAAGCTTAGAAGCTTCTGAATAATTTAATGCCAGAAGTGCGAAGGCACTTATTCCGGTCAGGGGAGGGGACGTAATTGAAACAATCATTACACATGTCACACAACGGAGCTTTCTCCTTAAAACAAAATTAGAACAGTCAAAAAACAGATGAAAAAATAAGGTGGCTCTGAAACGCTTTGGTAGACACGGGCAGATCTAAATTATGGCGAGCACTGTCTTGTGAAGACGGTCTTTCGTTAAATGATCAGATCGTCAATTCTCTCGTCATGTATTATCAAAGCTGTTATGGCACAGTAAAGAGAAGTCAGGTGGTGTGTATAATAGGATTAGCACAATTCAATAGACTCGCTCCTTTAGCGAGAAGCCATGTGGCTCTATAGATAGGCGTGTCAACTTTACTATATTGCCACCCTATTGTTACTTCAATGGGCTCCATTTTGATTTTTCAGAGGCACACCTTCAACAGCTGAAACTTCAAAAAGTGCCCCTGAAAAAGATACACACAGATTTGCGATCTGCTATCCCAAAAAGTAGCATCTGAATCTAATTGAATTATAGGCAGCTGTACTTGCAGGAAAGAGTAATGGAAGAGAAAACATTTAACAATTTAAAGTTCTTACCTCATTCTTGTGCGCTGTCAGAGAATCCATGATCTGATCTGGCACTGTAGGAATGTGAAGCATCGTCGCCGTACCATCTCCATCTAAGTCAATCACTTCAATGCCATTAGGTCTTTGTAAATGATCTTTCGGAATGACTGTTAGATAAAAGATCACAGGATACTGAATAAAGACATACGAGCGTTCTCAATCGAGAAAAAAAAAAAACTGCTAGCCATCACAGTTTAGCGTTGAAACCTTATTTCTCCCTAATAATTACAGAATCCGATGATACACAGGAAAGGAAAAATAATATCCCTTAATAAGAAATATCCCGTAATAAAATGATTACTCTCTTTGCTGTCTTAAAGTGTCTGCTTCAGTGTCTCAAAATTGTAAGAGGAAAATTACAATCGATTACTGTAGATTTGAAAGCAATGCCACAAGGAAGGATATGTAAAAAACAAACAAACAAACAAACAAACAGGTCAATGCCTGAAATTCATATTCATCTCTAACAAAACATTGCCTTCTTAGGGAGTGTTTACAAATGAATTTCTCTACCGTTAAGCCTTCCATACTGTGAGAGTGACTGTATGAATGCGTGATTTCATGCCAGGCTTACATGAAGAGACACTTCAACAGCTTTTTCTTCATTCCATAACATGGCTCACGTGACTTGGCTCACGTGATTGGATGACTAAAACTACATGACCGAACTTAGCAATCAAAACGTACTGGTATGTTCTCACCTAATCCTGCACTGCTCTTTTTCCTTGCAGTACTGGCCTGAATAACAGACATAGAACTATCTGTGCTACAAGAACCGTTGTCGCACCCTCCACTGTCGGTATTTTTGCCACCAGCAGTATATTTTCGACCAGAGCCAGGGAGGTTTGAGCAGTGACCGTCTTTGCACCCAGTCTTTGATTGACCATCAGTAACATTGCCCCGTCCAGCAGGGGTGGAGAGTTGTCTTGCGGAAGTCAACTGGAATGGTCCTGCTGCAGAAGACAGAAATAATGCTGACTAGAGCACGGTAGTGTACAATGTTACTCAATGGTTTCAGAAGTTAGTTTTACGTTTTCGTGTCTAGAGATTGAGAAAATATGTAGATGCATGGTTATCCCAACAAGGACAAATGCAAAAACCACAGTGATACAACAATATCATAGGATTCCGAAAGAAAAGGCACCTTACTTTCGGGCAGCCATTAGTTTCGGATGGTTAAAAAACGTTTGTGCAGTAATTCACAGCCGTTTCAGACAAAGCGGACGCGTGATATCATTTTAACAGTTCGTTTCCGTAAACAAAGAAACCTGTATAAACAAAAAAGGCCCCAAATCCCTAAATGTTGGTAGTGAAGGGCGAAAGTACTGGTCACATTGTACATCGATCCAAAATGCCGCCTGAAACGTGATATCAAATATCACACGGTTTTTTATTGTAGTCGAAAGGTAATCTTTAAAGGGCGGCTACTTTCGGGGAAAATGGCTTTTTTCATCTTGCACAATATGCTGTGGACAACGTTGCCGGCTGATTTGCACTGAAGCTAACGTGAAGCTACTGGCGTCATTTAGTATACAAAGCAACTACATAGAGGGTCCCTAACGGTAACTTCCTTGTTGCAAGGTTCAGGAAAGTCTAGGCATACTATTACACATTTACAAGGCGCACTAGAGCTCAGAGCATGGAGACACAATTTCATACCTGTCCAGTTTCAACCAGCTTTATGACATCACAGTTACAAAGTCGGGTGAAAAGACAAACTACGCTTAGCATATGTAACGTAAAACTGGTTTTACCTGATGCTTGTGTTCCAGAACCAGTTCCACTGACTGAGTCCCTGTTTTGTTTACTGCTGGGTCCTAAACCCTCTGTTCTTGACGCAGACGAGTCACTAATCCCCCTACTATCAGATGCAAGGCCCGAGTCGCTGGATGGCCTCCTGACAGTGTCTGCAGCAGACGTTACAGTGCTAGAGGCTGTTACAGTTGATGGGTTGTCACTTGATGTTGAAGCAGGTGGGGCCGATGGTGTTGTGGTGGACAACTTCTTGTTCTCATCTCTCAACTGTTCTTGTTGCTTCAGAGCAAAGGAACAACAACGGGTGAGACAACACAGTTTACAAAATAACTGAGATACTACGCGCGCTCTCATTGGTCGATAGGTGTGTTTAGGTGAGAGTATGTAAACACGGTTGTGAGTTTCAGTTTTTTAGTTTTTTATTATCGCACACTATTTACAGAAAAAAAACAACGACAACTTAACGTAAAATGGTTTACAATGATATAGGAAAAATAAATACAGATAGAAATTAACTAAAAGAAACAATATTTAATTGTCCACAGTGACCAAAGTAGCCAATGAGCTTTCGAGTTGGTCACTGTCATGGTCGGTCACTGTGTGTTGGTCACTGTCATGGTTGGTCACCGTGACGTTTTAGATTCGCGCGTACTCTTGCGAAGTATTTTATAAAAGCAATAGAGTACCTTTTTCTTTGTTTACATAACCTCATCTAAACACTTAGGGGGTTGCAAGAGTTCTGGAAAGTTATGCAAACCCGAGATGCAGTCGAGGGTTTGCATAACTATCTCGAATTACAAAAAAAAAAAACTTAATGATAACAGTTAATTACGGGAGGTTATTACAACTAGCTAACTAAACATGCCCGTTTGATGAACATGAAAGCAAAGAGAAAATGAACCCACATGAAAAATACGAAATAACCAGAAAAATACTATACTACTAGATAAAATGGAAATATTACCTATTACAGTGTTTCTTCAAAAGGCCTTAGAACAAATATTCCTAATAAGTGCATGGGGGCAATGCCAGTCAATGCTTAAAAACACTTATCTACATGTATATGCTACGTGTTAGAAAAAGGTGGTTTTTTTTTTAATTTACGCACCCATTTATACATTACACATTTAGTCCAAATCTGAGGACATGAAACTAATAAATGATAATATTACTGCAAGCCATTTTCAAACCTCTTGCTGTCTTTGTGTTTCAAGCTGCGTCTGTTGCCGTTTTTCCTCCAGCTTTCTCTGCTGTTCACCTTACAAATTACGTATACAAGAAGTCAAATTGAACAGAGCGACTCCACCGTAGCGTCCACACTACGCCGGAGAAATTTCAGAAAACAGCTTTATTTCTACGGTTAGCCTTACCGCCCACACTAATCCGTCACAAAAACAGAGCTTTTCGAAAACGCTCTTCGAACCGGAGGAATTTGAAAACGCCGACGGCGTTACGAAATCACGTGATTTCCCTGACCGAGTTTTCCCCAAACACAAATCCAAAATGGCCGGTGATTGTTGCGTTTTTAGATTTCTCCGGCGTAGTTTGGACAAAAAACGTTTGATGTGTTTTCAGAGTGAAACCTCCGTTACCAAATTCCTCCGCAGTTGTGTGGACCTAAAAGAGAGGTTACCTAAGAAAGACCAGTGGCTTATAATTATTTGCCAATTACACCTGAAGGAGACAGTAGCTCCCAACTAACAGCGAATGAAATGCTGATACTTAGGTATTGAGCATAAGTCTCAAGCATCAGAGTTAACCCACCTTGAGGATCACTCTTGCTGTACGGTGAAATACCGAAACACGGCTTCGTGATACTGTAGTCAATGAAAGGTTCTTGGGTCTTCCCTGAAGCACCTCGAGTGAGTTTGCGAGACCTCTTTTTCCTTGCAGTAGAAATTTTACCATCGACCTAACAAAGATTAACAGTAACTAGTTATAACTTCAGAATGCATCACAAAGCTCAAAGAAGGGCGAATCACAAGTTCATATTATAGGAATAACTCGTAAGTTTTACCAAGGCACTGTAAAGAGGCTCCAATCTTGTGGACCCTCTGTAAAGCCATTCAGAACGATTATCAATCTGGAACAACATCTGCAATAAAAAAAAAATGTGATGAATAATTAATCGGTAAATGATTAGGTACAGTGTATATGGAGATGTGTACAGTTAGCTACAGGTGCAGCAAATAAAGCCATTATCATTTGATACATTTTTCCTTTCCTTTTCATTGGCTGAGAGCCCACCACGTGACCTGCAAATAACCGTCTATATAAAAAAATAATGATCTACTCATACGTAATAAAATTATGTGTTTTGTTGCAAGTAATATTCTGCTCATGCGTAATTGCAAACACGCTCTTGTGTGAAAAATGGCAAATCGCTTTCCTGAGCGGTCAGAGAGTGATGTAAATACGAAAACAAACTTGACGATCGAATGATAAAACAGTTACTGAACTCTGTTATCGCAAAATATCGTGATTAGTCAGTATCTCACAGATCAATTACTTGCCTCAGCCTTTGGTTTCGGCAAATAATTGATCTGCTCGCCACTGACAAATTACGACATTTTTGCTCAACCTTGTCCAATAAATGTTAAGGTGGCTCCCTATAGTTTTACGATTGCACGCGGGCATAGGACGAAAGCTCAAGTAATCTGCGCGCGCTCAAAGGAAGACGTAAGTGTTTTTCAAGTTTTATGACGTCAACATGAGCACAAAAAGCGAAATTGACAGGGACTTTTCTCGCGTTTCCTTCGGTGAATTTTTTTAAAATTTGGCTCAGTTGTAACCACGTACAATTCCTATAAAATACCTTATTTTTTAAAATCTGTCAGAGGTAATCTAATGTATTTGGAAGAAAGACAAATTACAGAATATTGGAAAAACCGTCTGAACAACCTTAACTTTTTACTAATTCAAAATGTCAGGCAATGTCATTTCCATGATGTGGCAAAGTATGAAAAAATTTCACCAAAGGAAAGTAGAAATGTTAAGGAGTTTAGACCGAAATGAGGAACATATCTGCCTGTCTTTAGATGAGATGTTGCCATGGTAACGGCCTTGATCCAAAAATTGACAACCAAAAAATAAGCCTTAATTTAACAGTACCCATACTGGTAAATCTCTACAGGGAAAACTTTAGGATAAATTAACTAAGTTTCCTTTTCTAACTCGCGCTCTATAGGGAGGGTGTTCGTAAATACTCTAGGGAGTCAGCTAGTATGTAATATACAAATCATTCTGATCTACTGTTAGTAAGAATTATTTTGACAAATTTTGGTAACTTATTTAACTACTTTACTTCATATTCGTCAGCGTAAGAAACAGTTCTGCTTTGGTTTGTCACAGATGTGCTCAAGGTACGTTAACAGGAAGTTTCTCTTTACTGTAACACTGAACATTGTTTGAGCCTACCTGGAGGGTGTACTGAAAGAAATGGAAAACTCACCTTAACTAAACTGCAGTCCAGCTGCATCACTTTTGCTTTCAACCTAAAATGTTTGATAAAGTTTAATTACTAATTCTACTGTAATCAAAATGCAATTTTGCCATTTTAAAACAAGATAAGTTAAACTTAAAAGGTGTCCTATTATACAGGCGAAGGTTTGCCCGTCTTGAAAAATTTAGAGAGAACCAGTGGTGGATAGCTAAGGGGGGGAGAGGGGGGTTGCTTGCCCTGTCAGCTTTTCTTCGTTTTGTGATTTTTTTTTCTTTTTTTTAACCCACAGTAAAATCCTGCGCTGTGATTGGCTACCTGAGCAGGCAAGATTGCGCTATCTGGCCCTCTCAGGGCTACCTGCTGTGTTCAGCAAAAACAATTTCCCAGTATAATAAATCCTTTATTGACCAAGGGTGGGGTCAAGATGGCTGGATATTGGCCTCATTTTTTTTCTCGACTTCCAAGTTTATGGACAGAGACTCTACACATGCAAAAAATGAACTTGGCCAATATTCAGCCAGATTCCCACAGTGGTAAATCACTCAAAAGGCAATGTAGGTTCCTTCAAAAAAGATCCAAGTGTACCTACCATTGACCTCTCCATTCCGTTTTCACCCACTGATGGACTTTGAGTTTCACCATTGGTCGCTGTTTAAAAGAGAAACAACAGAATGATGACATTGACATTAAAGTAGGGAAAATGCCTTTTTCTACACTAGCTGTCCTCAGTTTGATTTGACAACCGGATGTTACTGGATGAGGAGAGGAAAGAGATGGAGAAGAAGGAGCAGGAAGAAGAGATGAATTTGAACAAAAATTAATTCTTTAATGAAGCTGTTTTTTTTCAGTTGACTTACATTTGGAAATTCTTCCAAGTACTCCTGTATAAATTCCTTAGAATGTTCAGCTACTTCGTCCCAAACCTTCTTTCCTGGAAAATAAAGACAGAAGAATAACTCAAATTCACTATTTAAAAGTTAACTTAAAAACAAAGGGTTACCTTATGTCCCACACGTGACAAAGAGGATTTAGTACGAAAGTTAAAACAAATCAAGGAGAATAATAATCAAAGCTAATCAGATGTTCAAGCACCATGATTTTTCTGCAACTACATGTAACTTCTACTGGACACTGATTCAAGGATTACATGTGCATTTTCTGAATAATCTGTTGTGCTCTATCAGCTATAGTTGGAAAGTAAAAATTCCCACTATTATGTTACATGTATCACAGCACTAACATGGAATTCACAAGCTACATGTAAACAAACTGCCAAAACGATCATGGAAAAAGGACTAAAAAGCCAAAATTTTCAGCTCTCACTTATCGGCTTCACATTTGGACAGAATAGCCTCCAGTTCAATTTACTTTAATATTACCCAGATGCATGAATAGCCAGTGGTAGTAGGTATTATGATGATAAATAATTAACAATTAATAATATACCCATTAAAAGAAACTTGATACCTGTGTGGTAAACATGGTGAAGTTTCTTGACTGGTAAGTACTGAGCAAATCCATCATCAAAGAACACAAGAAACCTTCAAAGACAAAAATAAATACTTTCACTGATGGAAGTAAAACTCAAACATGAAAAATACTTTAAATTTGAATCAAAACGTTTATTTCAAAAGGAATACATGACAAGGTGTATTTTCACAGAAACAAAAAGAAAAGTTAGGTGGTTGAAATTCAAGCAGAAGAAAAATTAAATAACCAATGCCAGGTATTCTAAGGCATTTTCTATTTTTCATTAAGAATTTATCGAAAGTTACATTCAATTTTGTACTGTAGATGTGTCATAACTGTAGCTCCATTTGCTTCTGTTTATTGCAATTTACTGGATCGAATCATGAAATATATCAAGTTACATGTGTATTAACACTGCTCCTAGCAGAAATCAAAGAGTTTTAAACCACAACTTAGCCTGCAGTTCAGGCATTATTTTGGAACGGAACACTTGATAGACCAGGCTTTTGATAACGCCATCTTGGATTGTACTTACTAGATGCTTGACCAGTAGAGGGTGGGAGCACAGGGCAAAGGGGGAGGTGGGGTGGGGCACCTCAAATCCAAGATGACGGCCTAGTATGCAAAATTAATGTGCACTAGTGCACCCAAAATACGCCTGCAATGCAGGCTACCGACAAGTAAGATATACCACCCAAAATCAAGCCTGCGAACAGGCTCCCGGTGAGCCCAAACGAAGCCCTGTCCCCACCCCGATCGCTTTGCTCTCCGAATTCTTCTATTTTGCGCTCAACAAAATTTTTCTCTGTCCTTGCTGGGAGCCTGTTTGCAGGCTACTCAAAATCTGTCAATCAATACATACCATTACTAACTGACACTAAATTATTCCAGAACCTCTATTACATCCATAAATCAAAGGATGCGATTTGTTTTGAGGGTAGCAGGCAGACTGGGCAAGTAAAATGTAAGTGAAAGAAGTGGAAATTGAGATAGAATAGACCACTTGCGTACTAGAATACATAGTGTTTTACCTTTTCTGGGCACCTCTAGAAGGAACTTTGGAAAAAAACACTCACCTATCCATCTATCTACATCTACACTGTAGATACTGTTAATAATTTTACGCCTAACCTCTGCAATAATTACTTCTCAAAAAATGCACGAAAAGTTACAGACCTGTTCTTGTTCTCAGCACAAGCATTCTCAGCAACAATACCAGCATATAAAACATCAAGCTTGCCATATATTCCTTTAAAACAAGAGAAAAAAAAATTAAAATCGGATTTATTTCTTGGGTGAGCACATGCAATTAATGCTAGTTAAGTAAATGTTTCCTGTAAGGAAAGAAGATTCCTTACTTGGTTGAGCTTGCTGTTATAGATTCATAGAGCGATTGCATACAGTGTTCATGTACAAATTGTAAATGGCACTGAATTTGAATAACAACGTTATAACATATCACAGTACAGTTGCATGATGTAACTACATCCTACATGTACAGTAGCTAATTTGCCACAATTACGTGAAACAGTTGCCACTGCAAGATTTTTTATGTGCTTACACAAGTCATTTGCCACTGGCACTTGTACTGACATTTACATCATTCTTAGAAAGCATCCATATACATGTACAATTATTTTATTGACTTTGTTAATAAGTATTTTTATCTTTGCCAAATAAGAGTGTAATACTAAGCATAGCTGCTTTTTAACAAAAAAAAAA